CTGTCCCCTCAACATCGGCCCCCCCCCCCCCAATAAATAAATAAAGCAAATCCCGGTTACCGAACTTGGCAAAGCATTTTTGAGATACATGGATGAAAAGCACCTGTTTGCTGAGTGGTATTATTATCGTCATTACTATTATTATTAACAACGTGTCCGTTATAAATACTGGTTACACCAGGTGTAGGTGAGCGGTTTTCTTCCTCCTGTTGGGGATGACCTAGTTTGTGTTCACCTTTGGACAGTCAGAGTCCGCAGGGATTCATTTCTTTTTCTGCCCGAAAACCAAAGTCCAATAATTAACATGCAAACAAACAAGCAAGCGAACGGCTGAAGCCCCAAGAGGGCAGGGGCTGCTTTTCCCCACTCAGCCCCCCGGCACTCGCCCCTGCTGCCCCTCCCAGTTTGCAGAATTCAAGTTTACACTAGTGCCACCACACTAACATACGCTTTGCTGGAAAACTCAGGAGCAGGTACGCATCCTCCCGGCTCACGCATAAACAGCAGGCATTTTACTTAAGTAAAAAAATAACCCAAAACCTAAAAAAACCCCCAAAAAACCAAAAACCAAAAAAGAACCATGCCAAATCCTGCAAACGCCTTCCTACAGTCCTTCTCTCATCTCTGTGACAGGGTCCCGGCACCGCGCTTGGGAGGAACGGCCGCGAGGCTTTTCACACCCAACTTCTCTGCCTCCCTCGCAATCTCTCTGCTCCAGCTGCCCGGCTATATCTTTATTCGGGGACTGTGCTAAATGTAACTGTACCCTTTCCCTAATGTGACCCTGAAGCCTGTCGTTTACCACAATCGAACCAGAGGGTGGAAATACTACACCTTTGAAAATTCTCTTGAAACAGCGTCTTTTTTTCTTTATCGTATCTCTCAACAGAGCTCCTTTTGTGTGTTCTGTAGGTTACCCTGCTCCCAACCATACCAGCACCTAAAATTGCTTTCTGAGACTTGAATATATTGCTGGCAAGACAATCAATTCAAGTGGTAAGGTGTATAATAGTTAGAGATAAAGATATATATATTTAAAAAAACCCAATAATAGTAAATTCCTGTAATATGTCTAGTCTGATATGAAAGCTCTCCCTCTACAGAGAGACATCTGCTGTGATTACCTTACAAAATATTAAAAAAAAACCACACACAAAAAATAACTTTCTCTGTGAGAAATAAAAATAAATCCTAGTGCAAATATAAAGCTCTGTAAACCTGGTCCTATGAGAATCTATGGTTAGTAAACGGCAGTTAAAGCAGGTTTATCCTCTCACAGAGAGAGCTCACATCATGGTTTCCACAATGATATGAGTTGGCTTGATCAATCCGCCATTTGAAGTTCCATTGGGGCAGAAGGGGGTGCCACTCTCCGTTTCTTTGGACCACCGATTCACTTCCTTGGGGGCAGCCACTGCTTTTATCCTCTGAAAGGAAGAAGAAAAGCAAAGGTGAGAAGACCAAGCGGCCCCTGCGTTTCCATGGGCAGGATGGAACGCGTGGCAATCCGAGGATGGGGATGGCGGCCATCAGAGATGTGCGCGTGCCGCATGGCTCTGCAAGGACGCGAGGACCTGGGCTGTGGAGCACCACGTTCAACTTTTGCTCAGCTGTGGAACCTGACTTGACGCAGGCAACTCGGACACGAGAAGGCGTTCCCGGCGTTCTCCAGCATCCTGCGGGCTGGGCTTTCAGCACTGCAGCTGCTGCTCAGATTATGTGTGTTCTCCTTCCCCATTTAGAAACAACTCTGCCTTTTAGCCCAGCCGTTCGTTGCCAAGTGGCAACTTCTCTCCTACGTCTTGGTTCACAAAGGAAGAACTAAATGGCATCTGACCAGTGTTTACTCTCTTTCCTTTCCTAACATGGTCTTTGAGGAGTGTTTTGGCTACTTTTAGATTTTTCTCTCAACAGATGGTGACAATGTAGGCAGGAAAATAAACACTCATGAAAATGCTCTGGCCACAGCTGAAAAAGACCATTAACACTTGGAGGAAGACAAATGCAAGCGTTTGTGCTCTGGGAAATGTTCTTTTTTTAATTCTATTCTCTCTTTTTTCCTAACCCGAAGTGTCCCACTTTCTCCTCCAAGAATACCCTGGGCTGCATTTAAGGCCATCTCATTAGGCAAAAACAAAACTAATCTGAAACCTTAGAAGAGAATTGCTAAGTTTCATGCTTGCCCAGTCTCTAAAAACTTTCCACTGGAAGAAACACAAACCAGGGGAACCTGTGCTGAACTGCAAAGGGCAAGAGATCGCCTACAAATCCAAACCCAAGAGAATCTGCACTGTCAAGTCTGAATCTGACCCGAAGTTTTGCAAAGATCAGGGCAATCTCGATCCAGTGTTTTGATTTGATTCATTAGGAATTTAAAAAAAAAAAAAAAAAAGCAAAAGCTAAAAAGTGAAGTCCACTGGCAGGAGGCTTTGGTTTTTATTCAGTCCCGCAGAGTGAAGGCCACGTCTGAGAACCACAAAATCCACAGCTGGATCCGAATCTCCCTGAGATCCAATGAACTCTTAGACAGCTGGGGTTGACCCAGATCTCTCTTCCTCTCTCATTTTCTCAGTGATTTGTAAGATGGGGCTTCCTTGTCCCCATGGGCTGGAGAAGAGGCACTCGGAAGCACCCCAGTGCTTGAGCACTAGTCTGCACATGGAGGCAATGATTTGCCAAGCTAGAAACTGCACAAATGGGATGCAAGTAAAATCACCCAGTGTTTGTTTGAGGACAGAAGGCTTCATGTTTGTTCTATTTCTACATGACAGGTGATCTTTAACAGCCTTACTTGCATTCACTGCAGCAGAGGCACCCAACTTTGCCCTACCTGGAAAAAGTGGCAGTTTTCCAAGCACTGTGCTTATTTTGTATAAAACACAGCAGGTTAAAGCTCCCTTTCTTCTCTAGACAGCAAATTGGTTGCTCTTACCTCAATGAGTGACCCATCTGACTGTATGATGCGGATGACCATCACCATAGGGATGCAGATCATGGAGGAAAGGGCAAGAACCCAGCCTAGGCCAATTGCCCAGTCTGGGTATGTGTAGACCTTGTTGTAGGTCAGTGGTTTGTACTTGGCCAAAGAAAAGATAAAGCACCCCTGTGGATGAGAAAGGAAAACAAAATGAGGCTCAAAAAATGCTGAAAGCAGTATGGCTCTGGTGCTACCACCAGCCCTAAGGAAGACAGGCATTGAAAGGCAGAGCTGATGCATACCATATGTATTTTAAACCAACGGGAGAATTATTCTTCCATTTAGAAAATTGAAAGAGCATCTGCATCTGCTTATAGGTAAACTGTTGCTTGACAATAGGGTGTTAAATGATGGTGCTGAACAGCTGCAATACACTGCCTGTTCTTTTTCAGGGCTCAAATATTTGCTATACATTGCAAGGAGCTTACTGGGATGTTCTTTGCAGCAAATGAAGTACTTCAAGCTGAGTGCCTGCCTCAGACTGCTCAAGTCTTTTTTCTTGAAATCGCCTAGTAGTCCTACCACTTAAAGTAAGAACTACTCTTTGGAGAGCGAGTTTTCTGTGTCATGAATGTAATACTTTGCCAATCCTAAGAAAAATCCACTCAAATGTAGCCAACTGCAATTTGCCCAAGCACAGCAGAGAGCAGTCACATTAACAGCTAACATCTGAGAAGATGATGTCTTTGAGGGGTATGTTCAAGCCTCCAGTATCTCTTTGCCAATTGGTCTCTGCACGCAACAGCCTTCACTTGAAGAGAAGCAGTAAGAGGTGGCTCAGAGCTGCTATGTGGAAGACTTGAAAGAGCCCGAGTCAGTACTCACCACACAAAGAACTGGTGTGATCACAATCCAGCTCCATTTCATCCAGGGACCAGGTCTGTATCCAATCATATCCTCAATGGCATCATAAATATTATCAGCGCCTGTAATGGACAGTAAGCGCATTTATCGGAATCGAGCATATAAAAGCCATGTAAGGACTGTGGGATTACAGCTGCTTTCCCAGCCCCGCCAAGGCGTATTTAAAGGGAAGATGAGGGTGTCACATGTATTGCTCAAAGGCTTCCCATGGCTGTGAAGTTCAAGATGGTTTTCTCCTTGATGAGAACCTCAAAGGATGGGGGACTCTCTCATCCTACACCCCCTCATTATTTAGATTGCAGGAGTGCAATGCTGATCCCTCCTGCCCACTCCTCTCCCCAGACTCTCACTGATCTTGCCAGGGGGATCACCATGTGAAGGACACAACAGCAGATGGGACATCTTGCTTCTACAGAAATCTGACTGATGCAAAATGAAGGCTTTGTTTGTTTTGCTTTCCTAAGGACATGGAGTACATGGAGAATCAGGGGAATGACCAGTCTCAAGCAGCAAACCTCTTCTGATCATTCCTCAGCTACTGTCTCAGGCAACTACAGAGGCTACTGTCAGACCTTGGTACTCAGCATCACCTAAAAATAATGGGACAGAATACACTTTTCTGTCAGCTTTCTCTTTGTATTTTCTATTTGGTTGGTTTGCCCCTTGAAGACATTGTAGCTTTGACAGGAAATTCTCTGAGAGACAAACAAGTTTTCACGGCTGGCCAAACTTTCAACTCTCATCTCTAAACTTAACACACGTAAATGCTTAATTGTGCCTGTCTTAATTAGCAACGGAAAAATACTCATTTTTGTGTGGAAAAACACTGGAGGCTGGCTTCATCCCAGATGCAAATTTGTCTCCAAGAGGTCAGTGCTAATTTATATTAATGGCATGTGTCTGTTGCTGGGAAGAAGATTCTAGGGTGGCTGATGATTAAATGTTTTGCTAGTGAAATTGTCACTGACTCATCAAAAGGTATTAGATGAAAGGATTCTCACTTACCATAAACCCAGGCTACAGCAATACATTCAAAGAATGCAACCCACAAAAGGCATACACCACTAGCTGCATAGTAGTCAAAGAGTTGAAAAACATACATGCCACCCTGTAAAAGAGAGACACAATGGATTAGGATCCAACGGGAAAAAAACCCTGAATACTTCAGGCCCAGCTCCCAGTTAAGATCGACCAACATATCTTAATGATTGCTGTCTAACAAGAAGTAGTATCAAGCAAGTAGGTAAGGTAAATATTTGGCATTACCTTCCCCAGGGAATATGCATGTTTACTACAGGAAGCATTCCAAACAAGACGACGATTAAACAAAATTAAGCCACTTAGTATAATCTACTGAGACACTTAAATCTTTCCTTCTTAGAAGTATTTTAGGATGAGCATTTATAGAAACAAATGATATAAAGAAATGACAGGTCACCTCCTAACATTAACAGCTCCAAAATACTAAAAATGGAAGTCAGTTCATCAGGAGGGTCCTCATTTACGAATTGAGCGGAAGGACTTTTTTCATGAGAATAGTTCATTTCTTTCTAACTCTCTTTATTCAGATTATGCTGTTAGACTCTCTGCCGTCACTACCCTGAACTGTATACACCTGCACTTTTACTTGAAAAAACGTGTTTGTTAGGCACTTCTGTTGCAGGTGCTACTTTAATTCCCACAGTCGTGCTCTTCGAGTTGTTTTTAAAATCTGGCTTGGATTTTATTTTGGAGATAAATATCACAACAGTGCAGCCACTGGAACATATTCCCATCTTGTTTATACTAGAATAAATCCAGGGGTATTTAATACATTCAGATCTGTGTAACCAAGATAAAAATCTCTTTC